TATTTTAAACTAAAAACACAAACCTTTTTTATTTTTAGCAGGCAAGGTCCACTGAGCTATATAGCTCTTTTTCAGAAGCGACCTGGCCACAAATGATAGCACTTTATTCTTGGTCAATGAATATTATCAATTACTTCAGCCTGCATAAGAATTAGCTTTGAGATCAACATGGGCATGAAGGCTAGTGAACAAAAGGAGCAATCGCAGGGTGGACCACATGGAAAACTCTCAATTGGCTTCGCACCTACGTTTGGCGGATTAAGTTCCAACATGGCCAAATGGCAGTAGTCAAATAAAAACAAAGGGCTGCGCCAGTGGCAAGAGGCAGACCATGAAACACATCTTGGTCTGCCCACTGCTCTAGGAAGATCTTGCAGCAGGCAACCCGCAATTGCTTAAATGAGCTCGCCACGAGGATATATTTTACTTTGGTGGACGGACACGAAAAAAAGAGGAAAAAGAAGACAGCTGCACCTCTTAAAGTCCCTTTGGTGCTCAAAACATTACAATGAATTATCCATCTCCAGGAAGTTTATTTCCTGAAAAAAATGGTGAGATTAGTCGCCAATGTTTGACTACCACGTTTAACTTTTAGAGCCCTGTCGCCTAGCAATGCTACTATAATACTGCACAGAAGTTATTTTATTGCCCTCTTTACTACAAAAATCCCCAAACTAATAAAAAATCCCTACACAAAGACTTAAGAATATAATGACTTTTCCATTCAATGGCGAGGTAAACATTGCTTGCAGGTGCAAACTTTACCCATTAAAAACATGCTTCTGTAAACATCATATTACTTAACATTCCTGAATACATTCTCATCCTGAGGTACAAATTTTGATCTGGAAACACTGGCGCAAGCATTAGCCTATTTTAAATAAGAGTAAATACTTTAAAATTAGCAGTTGTAATAAAAACCACAGCTTCAAACGTATCAGCTCTCAGAACATTGCAAAAAAATAACCAATCTCAAAAATATATATTATTGGCAATGTTTTATTAAAACTGTTGTATTTTAACAGCCATTTTGCACTGGAAAAACTACTCTTATTGACCCTTTCTCTGTTTTTCAAGCATGACTGAAAATAAAGTTTATATGCAGTGAGGGTGGAGCTGCAAAACAAAGTGCAGCTGCAATCGTGCATTATGTTCAATCGTCTCAATTCAAGTTAATCAAACACGGATAATTTTGCACAGGTAATGAATTAGATACTTAACCGTAATGAAGTATGTTGGTTACATATGGTCGAATAATCACCATGGCAAACGCGGATTAACAGTGGATTAAAAGTTACCAGAAATTATTGTTGTTCATCACAATGGTGTTCATGATAATATTGATGCCGATGAAACTCTTGTTAGTTTGTTGATTCAATGTTGCTGACGATGGTAATGTTAATTCTGATTATATTCATGTTGAGTTTGTCAATGCAGATGTTGATTTTTATGATGATGATTATAGGCGATGAAGACATGATATTGGTCAACACTGATGTTGTCGTCATTGCTGTGCACATTGACTATGGTGCTGCTGACCTAAATGTTGATGATGCTGGTGTTAATGTTGATGACGAGAATGATATGGATGTCAACGTGGTTGATCATTGTTTTATTGCTTAAACATGGATATGTATAAAAGGAATTCTCTACATTCAGATCCTATTCTCATACTTCAATACAGCTTGCTAAACCTGCAGCAATTACTACTGTTTAGCATTCATTACCAGTTTCTAGTATACAAGGGTGAAGGTATATTAACTAAAATAAAAATGTCAACATGATTCATAAATAGCTTATTTTGGCTTAGATGGTGTAGGTATGTCACGTTTTTAACTCCAATCCTCCAGCACGCAAAAGCCAATCAAATCAAGTTCACTCGTGGGGAAATATGACAATTGATTTGTTTTTTGGAAAGCCGAAACGTTGAAACGCAAACAAAAATCTTCATTTTTGCGCAAACTTTCAGCTTTGCTAAAAACCCAAATCAATTGGCATTTTTACCAACGTAACAAATTGAGTTGATTGGCTTTATCTGGTGGTGGCGAGTAATAAGTTCAACATTTTACTTTACACCTACACGATCTAACCACCCCCAAGAAACTCATTATGAATCATATTGGTCGTATACAATTAATGAATGTTAACTTTTTTTTCTTAAAAGGGAATTCATAACAAAAACGACAATTTAAAAAAAAGGACAGCTTTTCAAACCAGTCAGAAAATGGCGAACACAAGCATCTCAAATAGCTGGTGTGTGTAGTTGCGACATGGCACAGCCTGGCTGCTGGACATGGACACTGGAAAGCACAGGAGCTTATTTATGAGTTTCAAGGAAAAAAAAAACATCTGTGCACCACAACCAGTAGGCACTATCAATTCTGCATGTTGGGACAGAAATTGTGTTTAAAAAAATGGAAGATAAACTATAGCATTGTAAATATACTACTGGATGAAGAGCTACACCACACAGGGGTTGGTAAACCAAAATAACAAGAGAAATGTTTTTTCCAATTCGGCAAAAAAAATCAATATTTGAAGAGCCGCAATGCACGTGAATGCGAGACGGTGGTCCTTGATAAATAACATCACGAAGCAGTCCTTCAAGTGCAGTACGCAGCTCCGGACCTGTAGGTTGCTGACCCCTGGAATTGGCGTTAGCATATTGGCCACTTGTTGCAGAGGTTTATGGTTTGGATTCAACAGCCAACCTGATTATTACTGCCGATGTAGTAACTTAACAATACATTCCGTCTGCTTCACAGTGGACGTTAGAAATCACCCGACGCCATTCGTAAGAGTAGGTCATTTGTGTGCCGGCATCAGGGTCCAAATTAGAAAATAAAATCGACAATTACCCGCAAATTACTCCACTGCGATGTTTCCACAGCAGCAATCAGTGCCCCCTACTAGTAAACTAATACCCCAGGTCACTCTTGCAAACAAAGACTACCCTGGTCAAACAAAATAAATTTAGAAGCGGGTTATGTAGTCATAATTCTCCATCCATCACGCTAAGTGCTCTTTGGTGTAGAGGAGGCCAAGGTATGGTTCAGCCATTACTCGCCACTGATGTTAGCCGTGGCAGTAAATCACCAGTTCTCCACCCTTCTATTATCCAGCCCTTTGTAAATCCACTGCCGGATAAGATACTCCCAACACCTGGTGGCCAATGAAGCAATGAAAGGTGGTGTTTTACAACACTGAAGAGCAATTTATTACACCGAAACATGCGTCCTCCATGGTGCAGTAACGTCGCATTCCTCACCACACGATGTTGTTTACTTCACCCATATTGTGTGCATCTCCCCTGCCCAAGGATAAACACTGAACTTATTGATTAACAACCGCCAACAGGCCCACAACTTTGCACAGTTTCTACTATTAATCGATATTGTGAATAAGCTGCACACACGCAGTGATCTACTGTGCAGTACAGAGGTGCAGGTAGGGTTGTCCCATGTCCGGCTCTGACCTGGGCAGACTGGGGATTGGTATGTGTTCGTACCGAGATCTGGTACCATTATTGTGCTCAATATTATTACAGTAACGCTGCACAGTTTAAATAGACCCAGGTCGACTGAGAACTATGTAAGGGTTTGGTGGCAACCGGAGGCACAGGTGAGGCACAGGTGAGGCACAGGTGGATCATGGTGAGGTACAGGTGAGGTACAGGTGAGGTACAGGTGGATCATGGTGAGGTACAGGTGAGGTACAGGTGGATCAAGGTGAGGTACAGGTGGATCATGGTGAGGCACAGGTGAGGCACAGGTGAGGTACAGGTGAGGTACAGGTGGATCATGGTGAGGTACAGGTGAGGTACAGGTGAGGTACAGGTGGATCATGGTGAGGTACAGGTGGATCATGGTGAGGTACAGGTGAGGTACAGGTGAGGTACAGGTGAGGCACGGTAAGGAATTGAGGCGCAGGTGAGGTACAGGTGAGGTACAGGTGGATCATGGTGAGGCATAGGTGAGGCACAGGTGAGGTACAGGTGAGGTACAGGTGGATCATGGTAAGGTACAGGTGAGGTACAGGTGGATCATGGTGAGGCACAGATGAAGCACAGGTGAGGTACAGGTGGGACACGGTGAAGCGGTGAGGTACTGTGAGGTAAACGTGAAGCATGGTGAGGTACAGGTGAAGTATATAGGTATATATTATATTCTTGCGTATGATGGCAATATGTTTAGGGCCTAAATGTCCAGATCTGATGAACACGACGAGGGGGGGGGGGGGCTTGAGGAGAGAGTTCGTGTCGTTTTGGCCTTCCTCTTCCGCTGAAGGAGCACGGACTACAGTGGCTTACTATACTGTATGGTCAACACATTGTATGAGGTAAAGGTACAAGTGGGGTACAGAAAGACACAGGTGAGGTAAAGTGAGGTACAGAGAGGCACAGGTGAGGTAAAGTGAGGTACAGTGAGGCACAGTGAGGTACAGTGAGGCACAGTGAGGTACAGGTCAGGTACAGTGAGGTACAGGTGAGGTACAGTGAGGTACAGGTCAGGTACAGTGAGGTACAGGTGAGGTACAGGTGAGGTACAGGTGAGGTACAGTGAGGTACAGGTGATGCGCAGGTGAGGAGCAGGTGAGGCGTCGTGACAACAAACAGGCCAGTGCCTCTCGGCCGCATCTCCCACCAGTCGGCACACACACAACCACACAACCACACACAACCACACACACAATCACACACACAACCACACAACACACACACAACCACACAATCACACCCACACACACAACCACACAACACAACCACACAATCACACACACACCCACACACATAACCACACAATCACACACAACCACACAATCACACACACACGCACACACACAACCACACACATCCACACACACATCCACACACACATCCACACACACATCCACACACACAATCACACACACAACCACAAACATCCACACAACCACACAATCACACCCACACACACAACCACACACACACACGAGGCGCGGGAGGGACGTGAGTTTGTTACCTGCTGGGACCTCATGATGGCGGCTTGCTGCTGCTGCTGTGAGGAGCCCTAGGGGCTGCTGTAGGTCGCGCTGTGACGGGGACGAGAGAGTGGGGAGTGGTGGCGACACGGTGGAAGGGCGTACGAAGGTGATCGCTCGCGGTGGTGACGGAGGGCAGCAAGTGTGAGGCGGGGAGAGAGAGACACGAGGCCGTGCCCAAGGGAGGTGACGGATCCTCGGACTCCTCCTCCACCGTACCCCGTGCCTGGCCCTCGAGTCGCTTCCGCGTTCCCTCGCCATGACGAACAACAACAACAACAACGAGCACCATCACAATAACTCCCACAACAACTACCACAACAATCTACCACGAACAACAATAATAACAACCACCACAATAACACCTACCACAACCAGCACTACAACAACTACCACCATAACTATCACAACAACCACAACAACTAACACAACAACATACAATAACAACTACAACCACCACAACCACAATAACAACAACCACGACAAAAAAAATTAGTACAATAACAACAACCACCACATCAAAATGCGCAACTTTGAATAAATATAGACAACACGTTCTATCTTATTCTTGGTTCTTTCGGTAAAGTCACGTTGAAGGGAAACAAAATAATAAAATATATATAAAACAATGAAATTCTCACGACGTTTCGACTGCAACACAAGCAGTCATCATCAGGTGTTTTATTGTTCCCTTCAACGTGACTTTACCGAAAGAACCAAGAATATGAATCACTGCAGTCACGAAAGCTTTAAATAAAAAATTTTACGTTCTATCTTCTTGGTTCTTTCGGTAAAGTCACGTAGAATGGAAATAAAATAATAAAAATAAAACGCAATAGAGTAAAAAAATAAATAAATAAACACGCTCTACTTAATTAAATAGACTTTTTTATTAAATGTTTCTCCTACAACATCAGAGTGCAGCGCCACATTAAATACGCACTACAATGACAATAGTTTAAAGTTATTTGAAAGCATGTTTTATTTTCAAAATGGAAATATGGTTTGGGGGGGGCAGAGCTTTGTGACGTCATATTTGAGGGGGGGTCTGACTTTTTGTGACGCCGTGTGACGAGGGGGGGAGGGGGGGTCAAAAATCGGCCAAAATCGCATGACGTTGTTTATGGACGGCCCCCAATAACATCAAAGCACCAGCCACAACAACAACACCCACCACAATAACTACCAAAACAGCCACCCCTCAATAACAACCACCACAATAATCATAGCAAGTTCCACAATAACAACTACCACTATAACAACCACAACACTAACTACCACAATAATAACCAACTACCACAATATTAACAAAAACAACAATCGCCGTCCGCCACTAAGTGACGGTAATGGCACCACGGCACTTTTGTGCTATGCGAGGTACACTTTGAGGCCATGTGAATTGTCGAAGGCCCGCTGGCAGGAGGTCACTGCACAGACCCAGGTGCCATGGGTTGACTGAGATGACTGGCAGATGCACCACCCGTGCTCTTCACTTTGCCAACTTAACAGCAACCATAACGATCACAACAATAGCGATAACAACTTGCCACGACTCGTACAGATTATTTTTTATCTCATTTCATTCTAACTTGTCGATATCCTACTTTTTCATTCTGCCTTCTCATAGCCCACCTGTTGTGTATTTTCATGCTATCTTAAACACAGACGAAAAACATCATCCGTGGTGCAGGTTGCAACTGAGCCGCGTGAAAGGTCCCTCCACTGATGCCTCGACAAAGATCTGCAGGATAAGCGGCCAGGGCGGCGGTGAGTTCTGACCCGGCCCGGTTGTTCCAGCTGCCAAAGGACACCAGTGGAGGAGGGATGAGTGTGTCGTTTTCCCGAAGCGGCCAGCCTGGTGTGAACCTTCGACGAATCGAAAGGTTCGGCTCCTGGATCGTCCTAACTCTGGCTAGGTGATCATACTTACCCTTCCTATCAAGGGAACTGTGCAGACCAAAGGCCAAAGTGGCTGCCCTGTCCGAGGTGCATTGCCCTGTGGAGGGCCAGATTAGTCGTGATGGTGGTAGGGGTTACTGCGGTCATTGAGTGTAAAATAATAAGGTTGAGGCACTGTTTTTGGTGCCTCTTGTAGCTGTGTTTGCTCCTACTAACATGACGGGAACACCTATGCTATGCTGCACTCAGTAGTGGACATGTGGCCCCCTCTAGATGGCTTTGTTGTCCACAGAGACTTCAATGCGGAAATTGGTACCAACAGGACTGCCTATGAGACCTGTATTGGTCCACATGGAACAGGGACCAAGAATAGAAATGGAGCCTTTTGGACTTTTCAACGTCTAGACGGCTTGAGACAGATTGCTTTCTTTTAGAGAGATAGCAGCTGAACCAGCTAAGAGGCAGTACTAGAAATACTATACCAAATTTGTTCTAAAATAAAGTAAGTGAAGTGTTATAATTGACTATATCAAATGCAGCACTAAGGTTCATTCAACCCAAGATAGAAAGAGCATCTTAAATGGAAGCCATTAAAAATATATGAACCTTTAAAATGGTTATTTCAGACATTATTCCACCTGGAGAGTAATGGCCAGAATACTCTTTGGTTCTATTCGGTAAAGTCACGTAGGTAAAAAATAAAACAACAAAAATCACGACGTTTCGGCCACAACGCAAGCGGCCTTCATCAGGTGAAGGGACCAGACTGTCTCGAGGACAGCGCTGGAGTGAAACACAGCCACGCTCAGACCGCGACCTTTAAGCTGTGTGCGAGGAAACAAGGTGCCTTGACAAAGGAATTCGCATAAAAAATTGCATTAGATTGGCCGACTTAGCATGATGAACGGTGTAGAGGTGGTGTACATGCGGGTGAACATGCCGGTTGGCGAGGGGGGGAGGAGGAGTTTACCTATTGATGGTGTGAAAAGGGAATTTTTAAGAGCTGCGAAAGTTTGGGGTACCACTACTTGAAAAATATACTGTACCATTGAAAATTAGTTTAATGTTTGGTTCGATTTAGAACATCTTTCCAATGGTTGCTTAATTTGAAACCATCTTCTCGGTTGAAATTGTGTCTGTGTTTGTAGATCTGAATTGCCTCGTGAACAAATCTCTGATAAAAACCCGTGGGTTTGCAAAGAACCTTGGTATCAGAGAAAATGATATCGTGATCACCCACAGCATTGTAACAGTGATCAGCTACGGCAGAAGAATTCGTTCTGCCGTGTTTCAAATCTGATTTGTGCTCGCGAATTCGGTCAGAGACATGTCGCTTTTGTCTCCCCGATATAGCAATCACCGCAGGTACAACTCAATTTGTAAACCCCGGGGTACTGTAAGTCAGGAATGACATCCTTCACGGATGGGATCAGATCACGAATTTTGTGTACTGTATTGAACCGAACCTGGATCTTGTGTTTGTTTAGAATTTTGGAAATCTTTTTAGTAACGCCTGCTATATATGGTAGTGTGATGGTTTTGACCGGAGTATCAAGTGGTTGTTTCTGTATGGAGGGAAGAAACAGCTTGGCGGATGGTATGGTCAGAGTATCCATTCCTTTTCAGGGCCAGGTGTACATGTTTTAATTCACTGGTCAGGTGGTGTTGGTCCGAAATGCAATGAGCCCTATGGTATAAAGTTTTGATGAGATAATTATTTTGGGCTGGGTGGTGGTGGGAATCAGGTTTCAAGTAGGAATCTGTGTGGGTGGGTTTCCTATAGACAGAATGCCCCAATGAGCCATCAGGTCTCCTCTCAAACAGAACATCAAAGAATGGGAGCTTGCCATCTTTCTCCACTTCCATGGTGAATTTGATGGCGGGATGTCTGGAATTGATATGGTACACAAAATTCGTGATCTGATCCCATCCGTGAAGGATGTCATTCTTGACTTACAGTACCCCGGGGTTTACAAATTGAGTTGTACCTGCGGTGATTGCTATATCGGGGAGACAAAGCGACATGTCTCTGACCGAATTCGCGAGCACAAATCAGATTTGAAACACGGCAGAACAAATTCTTCTGAATTCTTCTGCGAATTCTTCTGCCGTAGCTGATCACTGTTACAACACTGTGGGTGGTCATGATATAATTTTCTCCGATACCAAGGTTCTTTGCAAACCCACGGGTTTTTATCAGAGATTTGTTCACGAGGCAATTCAGATCTACAAACACAGACACAATTTCAACCGAGAAGATGGTTTCAAATTAAGCAACCATTGGAAAGATGTTCTAAATCGAACCAAACATTGAATTAATTTTCAATGGTACAGTATATTTTTCAAGTAGTGGTACCCCAAACTTTCGCAGCTCTTAAAAATTCCCTTTTCACACCATCAATAGGTAAACTCCCCCTCCCCCCCTCGCCAACCGGCATGTTCACCCGCATGTACACCACCTCTACACCGTTCATCATGCTAAGTCGGCCAATCAAAAGCAAATTTTTATGCTAATTCCTTTGTCAAGGCACCTTGTTTCCTCGCACACAGCTTAAAGGTCGCGGTCTGGGCGTGGCTGTGTTTCACTCCAGCGCTGTCCTCGAGACAGTCTGGTCCCTTCACCTGATAAAGGCTGCTTGTGTTGTGGCCGAAACGTCGTGATTTGTGTTGTTTTATTTTTTACCTGCGTGACTTTACCGAATAGAACCAAAGAGTATGGATCCTTGCAGTCACGAAAGCTTTAAATCTAGAATGGCCAGAATGCCTGCTCAACACATGCGATCAGAAATCTCACAGTGCTATTTGACCAGTCTATTTCCTTCCAGGCACATGTTAATAAGGTCGTGAAAACCTCGTTTTTCCATCTCTAAAATCTTTCTCGACTGCCTAATTTTCTTATATCTGCAAATGCAGAGAGGTTCGTTCATGAATTTGTTGTGTCACGGATTGATTATTGCAAAATGTCCTGAGTTAAGGCCTTGGGAAGGATGCTGCAGCCAGGGTGCTCACTTGAAATATATTCTGAGAAAACACATCTCTCCTATTCTTCCATCATTGTATTCGTTCCCTGTCTCTAGACAAGTGGAGTTTAATATCATGTTGCTCGTATTGGAAGCCTAATGAAGGCTAGCTTGACTTTATATTCAGAAACGAATTCAATCTTACATCCCTTCAAGCTCTTAAAAAAATCCTGATGGTACCCTTTTATGTAAATCTCGGTCTAGGGTGAATTATTGGGGTGATTTGGCATTTACTATATATGTTGAACTTCTCTTGCACTGTACGTAGCCAACCGTGCTCATTAGAAGTGCGATGGCCCCCTGGTTGTGCATCTCTCTACCATTGGAGATCAGGCTCTTAGACAGTGTTGATATGTTTAAGTCCCAACTCAAACACGTCTTTAAAAAAAGTGGCCAATTCACTTTGTTCCTCTCTGGCCCTTATGTTGCCACTCGGTTCCTTTTCTATTATTGTTGTCTATGCATGGCACCTTGAGACTTTGTCTCTCTGCATGGCACCTTGAGACTTTGTCTCTCTGCATGGCACCTTGAGACTTTGTCTCTCTGCATGGCACCTTGAGACATTGTCTCTCTGCATGGCACCTTGAGACATTGTCTCTCTGCATGGCACCTTGAGACATTGTCTCTCTGCATGGCACCTTGAGACATTGTCTCTATGCATGGCACCTTGAGACATTGTCTCTCTGCATGGCACCTTGAGACTTTGTCTCTATGCATGGCACCTTGAGACATTGTCTCTCTGCATGGCACCTTGAGACATTGTCTCTCTGCATGGCACCTTGAGACTTTGTCTCTCTGCATGGCACCTTAACACATTGTCTCTCTGCATGGCACCTTGAGACTTTGTCTCTCTGCATGGCACCTTGAGACTGTCTCTATGCATGGCACCTTGAGACATTGTCTCTCTGCATGGCACCTTGAGACATTGTCTCTCTGCATGGCACCTTGACACATTGTCTTTCTGCATGGCACCTTGAGACATTGTCTCTCTGCATGGCACCTTGAGACTTTGTCTCTCTGCATGGCACCTTGAGACATTGTCTCTCTGCATGGCACCTTGAGACATTGTCTCTCTGCATGGCACCTTGAGACATTGTCTCTCTGCATGGCACCTTGAGACTTTGTCTCTCTGCTTGGCACCTTGAGACATTGTCTCTCTGTGTGGCACCTTGAGACTTTGTCTCTCTGCATGGCATCTTGAGACTTTGTCTCTCTGCATGGCACCTTGAGACATTGTCTCTCTGCATGGCACCTTGACACATTGTCTCTCTGCATGGCACCTTGAGACATTGTCTCTCTGCATGGCACCTTGAGACATTGTCTCTCTGCATGGCACCTTGACACATTGTCTCTCTGCATGGCACCTTGAGACATTGTCTCTCTGCATGGCACCTTGAGACATTGTCTCTCTGCATGGCACCTTGAGACATTGTCTCTATGCATGGCACCTTGAGACATTGTCTCTCTGCATGGCATCTTGAGACTTTGTCTCTCTGCATGGCACCTTCAGACATTGTCTCTCTGCATGGCACCTTGAGACATTGTCTCTCTGCATGGCACCTTGAGACTTTGTCTCTCTGCATGGCACCTTCAGACATTGTCTCTCTGCATGGCACCTTGAGACATTGTCTCTCTGCATGGCACCTTGAGACAGTCTCTCTGCATGGCACCTTGAGACATTGTCTCTCTGCATGGCATCTTGAGACATTGTCTCTCTGCATGGCACCTTGAGACATTGTCTCTCTGCATGGCACCTTGAGACTTTGTCTCTCTGCATGGCACCTTCAGACATTGTCTCTCTGCATGGCACCTTTAGACATTGTCTCTCTGCATGGCATCTTGAGACATTGTCTCTCTGCATTGCATGTTGAGACATTGTCTCTCTGCATGGCATCAAGGTGGTGGGGGTGACGTTGGTGGGAATTTGTTACCGATTTTAAGATTTCAAAAAAATGTTTTCTAACATCCTTTATGCATCAGAATGGTGTTGTTGCTGTCCCCAATCACAAATTTGTCAATTTGCATATACTGTACTCTCAATATTGTAATCAATGTGTATCTATCCATGTCATGATGGTGCAGTTTAAAACTAAGTTGTGCTTAAGAGTTTAATCTCTTCATTTTGTTACATCAGATTACCATTTTTATTGAACGCAATAGCAATACAGTAACAAAACAAGCCAACCAAAATGTTTTCATTTTATAACAAAACACAGTATCACTAATATATACCATTTTCAGGTGTGAAAAGCTGGTTATGAGGTCCAATTGTTTTTTGTGCGTAAGGTGCATGGTAATACAATACTTTTAAATTTGTATTCCTAATAAATATAATTGCAGATATATATTATTTACAACATACCTTAATTTCAGGGATTTCATTTTAGAGTGAGAGGGCAATATAAAAAAGAATGTTTGCACAGGAAGTACGATATAACATACAAAACAATAAATCATATCAATATGTACATTATTTTTTTACAATTTTACGGACCAATACTAAAATATGGTAGACTGTGTTCATTAATAAAAAAAATCCTCCTATTCGTTACAAACTATAGGCTTACTTTTCATGAAGCTTGAATGTTTGATTACCAAAAATATAGACCACTGATGAGCAGCCACTCGAATTAACTGAAGTGCAAAGAGTGGGCAACAACTTTGAAGTAGTAAAATCGTACACGTATCTCGGTGGTAATTTGCAACGTTCTGGAAGCAGCGAGGCAGAAATTAAAAGGCGAATCTCAATTACACGCGGGTGTAAGAAACAGCTCGGCAGACAAATTTGGCGCTCCAGCACAACAGCAACAAAGATCGGCCTCTATAATGTGTATATCCTTTCCGTCAACGACAGCGTCATTGAGATAGAAGCTGGATGCCTGCAACCAGTGGTGTCTGCGACGGCCACTCCGCATTTACTTCAGCGAGCTTGTCACCAGTGGCGAGGTCCGCCTTTGCACAGGGCGCTCCATCAGTGTCTGACACGGTCAGAGCCAGAAAACTTCGGTTCTGCGGACGTGTTGCCTGGGCGAACGTCCTTTGCTGATCCACACCAGACCCCAGGGCAGGACATGGCTGATGTGGACACGCACAATTGAGGCTGATCTTCACCACCATGGCCTTGGCCTGCACTAAGCTTGGTGGTAAGCGCAGGAAATAGGATCGCCTGGCGGTGTCTTGTGTGAACCGCTACGCCCCAAGGGGTTTTTTTGCCTGATGGTGACGAGCAAAGGAAATAATTTGGAAATCAGGGATACTTCATGTACGCGATGGATTTTGCTGCGGAAAACTGTTCTTTTTTCAGTCCATGATCCTCTATGGTGTCCATTTCTGTTGACAAGTGGGTCAGTGCATTGAGCACTGTACTCTGAATACTAACCAGAGTTTATGGATGGGCACAGGCCATGCAGCATAATGCAATGCCCATCCACGGACATAGCCAACTGATTGGGTGCGAATTTGTCCCACATGTACACCTATTTGCGTGTACATGCATTTGCCTAGCAGGATTGGTCCACAAAGGACAGTGTGTAATTAATACTGTGATACTGATGATCAAGATAAATGGTGAAAGCGAGTCACGATACCTGTGCGTGTGTGTTGCTTGTGTTCCCGTGTGCCTGTATGGGTATGGAGCTCTTTAATTCAACGCAATTATGACCCCTTCCAGAATTTGTCGTTGAATTCCACACCACATTGTGGCCAAGTTAATGTGGCCAAGTTAATGTGGCCAATGTGACTTTTGAAAGTGTCGCCACCCCTACTCTACAGTCACTGTCAAGGCCATGCCCCCAGTTGGCACCCATTCGTACCCATTTTGGCTCTATCCGGTGTATAGACTGAGGTCTGTTGGGATATGGCCTCATAGTGACAGAGAGGGCCCTGTTTGAATTATAAATGGCAGATGCGGGATGATTTTATTAAAAAATTAGTCATCATTCCATCAAAACAGGACAGGATGATGGCAGGAAATTCTTCATAATTCGCACCCCAAAGCTCTTAACAGTTGCTGCATCTGCACATCTATGTGAAGGCCATCCCATAGTATGCATGCCCTGGCTGATTAAAACACTTGTAGGAGCAGAGAAGTACTCGCACAGGGATGACTGTGATGCTTGATATCAGCTTCAGATCCTACCGAGACAACATAACACATCAGTCGGCCAACACAAGATCAGTATCTGCATCACACATTTTTGGGCCCAAAACTGGAAATTGTAATTTTAAAAATGGCGACCTAAATGGGTGCTATTAGTTTCAAGATGATGGATGTTGTTGCCCAACAATGGGGATCTTTGACGTTGCATGACAAATATTTTGGTTCATATCCCAAAATTTGTGAAGAATTCCAGCTGCCACAGTGCTGAATGACTGACAGATGGGATTTTTTATTCCAGTACCTTTATCATTTTCAACTAAAAAAGCTAAAAGTTAAGATTTTAAGAACAGAACTTTGAGCCTTTTAGTTTCAGCTCTTGCAACCAACAATATGGTTTACAAATGTGTAAGTACTTACATTCTTGGCATTGAGAAATTGCACACATTCAAGCCAGATATTGAGAAAGCTCTCTCCACAGACTGCGCAGATCCTGGCCTGTGTCAATGTTTCCTGAGTAGGTGGATGCTCGGCAACAGCAAGTTGCAGAGGCGACGAAAATGTTTTCATCTCATGCAGAATAAATCTTGCAACCAATTCCTGTAATGGAGACATTCATGAGGGAAAACTATTACAATCTGTTTCTTGCTTTCTTCCCTGCGCATTTGCACAATGAATCAATAAAATTCCCTCAGGCTAAGCAATACAATATCCAGATCAACATATACAGCACTGTATGGTCTATGGCATAACACGAGTGTAAGTGGCTGATGAGGAAAACATGGGGGAGTGGCAGCTATGGGTTGTTTGACTAAATAAGTCATGTGGTTGTTTCATAGATCGCTGCATACTGAAAATGTCCTAGTTGACTACTGGGGGTTATCATAGAGCATTAATATCTGGAGAAATATAGCTGTGGTTTTGATATATTGCATTGCTGTGATAATGACATTTGGCTAGCTATTATAGCAATTGTGGTCCAAAGTTATGGGGCAGTACAATCTTGGAGAGTTTAAGTAAGCCCACCAATGTGACTATGTATGTTGACCTTATATTGCACCGTAAGTAGCCTATCCAACTCCATTGCTGTTGACACATCTTCCTTCGGCTATTTACCACAGTCGACACCACTCTTCTGAAAATGTAGTGCGTTTACTCTAACACACCAGTGTGCTGAACTAGTACCGAATTTGTATGTTTTGTTTACATGACAAACCTTACTAATTGGCTGTGTCGGGTGGTGGTGGGTTTAACAACACATTTATATTTAAATGATCGAACCCGAAAAAATCCCTATATTATAAATAATATTGGTCACGAAAGCCTATGTGTTAAACTGACCACTCCTCTAAGGTCCCCTTTGACAGTCTCAAACCATTTCGCTTTAGGTCTAAACAAAAAAATACAATGTAACTGCTTGACTTAAAGCTTTCCTGAGTGCAGAAAATAACAAAAATAAAAAATGTTTACAAAAAACTACGACGTTTCGATCCCAACACAAATGATCGTTATTTTCTTTGAACCTATCTACGTGACTTTACCGAAAGACCCAAAGAATAGGAAATGTAACTGCTATTGCCCAAACATCGCAAATGCTAACATTACCTTCAAATTACTCAATTGGGATTATACACAGCAGCAACATTGCTGCCGACTGCAAAAAACTTTGCAGGACCCTTCTGAAAAAAGAGCCTCAAGACTCATTGAGGTGAACAATGGGGTAAACATGCATAATAATTTAAAAAGGTCAACTGCTGGGTGTCACTCAAGTTCCTATTTTTGTTAACGAACCTTTTTTGTTGTTTTATTTGATGGTTTATTGAAACTTAAATAGGAATGCTACATCCAGAGTGTGGTAAATAGACAAAATACAGTGTGATCATCGCATTCCAGGAAAAGCAGATAAAATGGGAGGAGGGATTAAGCGAGGGGGGGGGGGAATTTAGGATAAAGGCGGAAAGGGGAGGGGGGAAGAGAACTCACAGAAAAAGAGTAAGGGATGGAGGAGTTTGCCGCCAAAGTATCCAGATGAAAGGGATATACTATGTGATGATCTGTGTGGATCTGTGATGGCCAAAGGATGATGCATTAGATGGTACGTTATGTTATATACATTTAAGATGGGTGAGTTTTATACTCTGGGGTGGGTTTGAGTTGGTGGGTACTTAGGTTTGATTGAGGGTCATGAATGTTTGAACTTTCTTGTATTGGTGGTGATCCTATGAATTGGACCCACATTTGGTTCAAATTTGCCATCAGATGTTCCCATCAATACAGTAATAGATGTGTCTAGTGATTGCCATATCTCTTCATTCATTGTCCACATCGGGAAAACGATGTATTTTATCGTTATCCATGTGTCTAGTATGGTTAGTTTAGCAGTTGCCAAGCTGGTACAAACCATTGACTTGGAATATTAGATAACCTTCAGGGTATGAAACAGGTTTAAAATAATCATTTCAGGATTAATGGCTATGAGATGTTTAGTGATTCATGACAGATACTGTAGGTCCAAATATGCCCCAAAATCGTATACATAAGACAAGCCCAAAAAATGTTTCAAATGATGTATTGCATCATTCGCGCTGACTTGTAGGAGGAAATTTCTGTACAGTATTTGACTCATTGCCTCTTTGAAAGGTAGGGGCCGTGGATCAACTTGAATTGGATGAAGTGGCGTGATGCTTATTCAAAGATGCAGTATGAGTTTTTACACATTTCTTCCCGTGCATTATCTGCAGTGGCCTTGCTGGAAATATTACGCCATAAGGCATGCATATGTGGATCACGAGGCACTGTTGGCTGTGATGTTGTAAAGAGGAGATATTCTATTAAGGTCCAATGGGTAATCTAGCCATTTAATTAAGAGGGGTGATTGGGTGGGTTATCTGTGATGGCTCATTATTTGTGTGATGAGATTATTTAATATGTTGGAAACTGGTTAACATGGAGTGCTGTGCTTGGGGCTATTTCTTAAAGCAATTAAATTTTACCACTTGAGGTCATGATGTCTTTAAAGTGTCAAAGCCTGGATTCCCTTCCAGTACAGTATATGCTTTCTTTGTAAGTGCTGGGTTTCGCTCAGTGGCTGTCAGCATAAAGTTTAGATTTAATTTGAGCACTGCAAGAACAGTGATTTAATATATAGTTTAGTGAAAAAGGAGTTAATTATTATGTGGGCATGTGTTTCCTGTGTGTAGAAGGATTGTACCTGCAATGTGTGAGACCATTATGTTTGGTAGTCCTGGCTCTCCTGGAGATTAAGTTGGACGAAAATTCAAGTTCTTCACTGTGCACACACGTCTGACTCTCTACCACCTCTTCTTGATTACATCTACATTTTCCCATCAAATTCTATTCTGGATTTCCAAATTGCTTACGCTGTCCAGCCATGAAATGTGTAGCGTCCTCCCCCATGTATTGAAATTCACAGCTCTCTTAAGTCATACAGGAACACAAACATTAATCCTACGAAATTGGAAAGCTGAATCTGAAAATGTGTGTATGTAAAGGTCCAACCTGGCTGAAAACGTACTGCATTAGAATTGAGTCAAAATGCAAACCACTGCTCTTGGGGATGAGTAGCGCTATGTGCCACAGACAAGGACAGCAAGGAAGGCAAAAGTATTTTCATGTTTGCGAAGGACATGGTAGATCAGTAATATAAACACATCACGTCAATTTGCATCGACAAGCAGTCGCTTTGATATAGTGACTGCTGTAGCAATGCCTCACGTTGATGTCATTGACTCCTTTACTGCAATAATAATTGTAATAGTTCATAATCGTTTAGTCCTTTATCAGTCAGCTGCTGGATAAAGGCATGTTGATCCATGTCAGTCATGGGGGTTGTTTGACCATACTTCACCATGCTGGTTAGGCGCGTTGGTAAAGTGGGTGTGAGAGAGACAGAGGTTTATCGCACTCGCCACTGATTTTAGCTGCAGCTGGGAATCAAACTCACGTCATAGGCAATCGTTCTACCCCGACTGTAGACAAATGTACGAATTACAATCGTGAATAATGTAACTTTGCATGGGGTGAAAAACCTCCCGTGAAGCAAACCTGTTTAACAGGTGTGGCCGATGAGTACAACTTGGCAGTATTAATATTCCTCGTACACACCAATGAATGTTAAATATTTCGTGAAACAAATAAACTAAATGACAGTCTTAATGTGTACAATACGCTTGAAACGAACTCGCAGATTAAGATAGTCTGTACAACGTCTCATAGCATAAAAAATTGAAATTTTAGAGTGTTAAATTGACTAGGTGTATGGGTAAGGTTGATGCCAGTTGTACTTGCCTTGAGTGACATCACCTCATCCTCTTGGACCGATTCCACTGGGGAGAACCTCACCAAAGGGTTCTCCTCGCAGTACAGCTCCTTCAGGGGCAACCTGTGCAGCTGCGCAAATGTATTCGGCAATGCTGTCATTTTGTAGTCGATATTCACTACCACCGGGATGGATTTCTTCCCGCGCCACACTGTACAGAATTTCCACGACTGAATGATGGAGCCGATGTCTGTTTATACGGTGCTGTTCGGTAGAACATGGTATGCACAAAGGCTTGGAAGCTCAACACCCAGGCAGTGGTTGGTTCAGCCCATCATCTTCCTACGATTAATTTATCCCATTATGGGAAGGATACTGCATCTAAGCTGGACCCAAAGAGTGGCCAATGTAGAAGTAATAAATTGGTTGCACATATAACGAAAACCTGATGCAGGCAGTGATGAGAAAGAAACTGGCACTATTTGGACACATATGTAGGATGGACGACAGGAAAATTTTAAGTGTGTTGTTCGTAAAAATGGATGGAACCGGAAAGAGAGGCAGACCGGACAGAGAATGGCTGGATGATGACATCACAAGAAAATGGTGCCAGAACGATGTGGCACTACTTGAGCATATTGGCACAAGACAGAGGAAAGTGGAAATAAGTTACGAAATGTACAGTGGACACCTACGGGGCTATCTGCCCATGGATCGTGATGATTATTATGATGGAAAATAAACAGTAGTTTTCCTGTAGAGACTGGCCCCATATGTAGGAATGTGGAATTTCCATCTCTGGCTCTGGGTTATGTCTACTTCATGAGTTTCCAGTGGTAATCTTGTCAGCAAGTTGCTAAATCACCCACATCGTGCCACATATTTACCTGAAAGGCAGCTTCAGGGTATTTATGACATTTAATTACATTGAATGGCTGCACCCTGGCAGTGAGTAAGGGGTGGAGCAAATTATATCTTCACCTTCTACTGCTATGGTAGTGGTTCTTATCCTGGGGTGCACGCACCCCCTGGGGTGAGAGATGCCCTTTCTGGGGGTGTGAGACATGGCCAGAATTTTTTAGAAGGTAAATGATCGAAATGCAAATTAAGCACGGGCATGTAAGTACAACTACTTTATTTCATCAAACCCTCTGTATTTATTAACATTGTACATTTTTTTTACGATTGAGAACCAAAGAAGTACAAGGCTGCAGAAAAGGTTAAGAACCACTGTGTTCATATTCTTGGTTCTACGTGACTTTACCGAAAGAACCAAGAATATGAATCCCTGCAGTCACGAAAGCTTTAAATCAAAATGTAACCACTGTGTTGTACTCTTTGGTTCTTTCGGTAAAGTCACGTAGGTATAAAATAAAATATATTAAATCACGACGTTTCGGAACAAACACAAGCGTCCATCATCAGGTGGAACAGCCACAGCAAGAAACAAATTGCTATTCCAGCTGATGACGGACGCTTGTGTTGCTTCCAAAACGTCGTGATTTAATTTATTTTATTTTATACCTACGTGACTTTACCGAAAGAACCAAAGAATATGGATCCCCACTGTGTTATGGCCACGGATGCGGTTCTCTTGAACTGGGGTAGGGTCTGCATGATGTGTAAGGCTGAGCGCTCTTCAAGACACCCTCCGCTTCAGGAGGCTGCCGTATTGGCGTTTGTGACCATTTACTCTTACGAGAAGTGATTTGCAAGTGGGAGGAAACTCGAGTACCAAGGGAGGAAAAAGCCTCATGCATTTCAAGGGGATAACATTAATTTGTCCACACAGATGCATTGACCCATTTGCTGTACTACCATCTCCTGGTTACCTTCAAGCCCAGCAGGTTTGATTTTATTTCAAAATCTGCATGATCCACTATGTAGATTTGGATTACACCACCGTTTTAAGCTATTTTGGATAGTCAACTCAAACTATCTCCGTCCCAGTACATTGTTGTTATTTATGATCTGACTATTTGACCCACCTTGTAGTTGACCCTGAAAATTCGATAAAAATGCTAAATTTGTGATTATCTGGGCTCAATTAAACCAAAATCCTCAAGTAGAAAGTTTCTCTCACAATTATCCTAATTCACAGTTGGATGTTGTGAACTTGTATTCCTTCAGTACGTCGATTCAGTGAACTATTCTTACAGGGTTCATAAATTCAGTACCACTTTTTGGAAAGCCAACTATGAATGCCCTGTTGATACACCAGGTGAGCACCTTGTTAATGCATGGGGAATTATTGAATTGTAATTGCTAGCTTAATACTACTATAAACTAAACTATTTTTTTTATTTTACCAGGTAAGGCCCAATGAGCTATGCAGCTCTTTTTCATAAGTGACCTGGCCATAAATGCCAGCTTAACAAAGTGGCTTATCATGTGGAAATGTATAGCGGCCAAATACGATATGAACGCATGTTGATTCTTTATGTGGAGGGAAAAACCGGAGGACCCAGAGAAAAATCCACGCAACCATGCACATTTTTCTTACCTATAAATGTAATTTTTGTCTGTCTGTGTGTTCACACACTTGCGAAGGATTTGGCTCTCAAAAGGCAGGGTTTACGTTAAAAAAAATAGCTAGGTACCACGCCGTAAGCCCCTTGGTGAGCAAGCGCTATTCCTTTTTCCCATCCGTCAACTTTAAAGTAGTTAAATTAGCGATTTAGTGATGTTCCCCTTTAATTATTTATTAAATCGCGCACGATTGATCATACCAACTCACACGCGTTCGGTGGGGGGGAAGGCCCCTACCAAATCACACGCGTTCGGTGGGGGTGAGGGGGAAATTGTCTTTAGCATTAAACATGCTATAAAAATACACAAAACGCTGAGGTAAATTCTTCACAGTGTGATGTCGTCCCCCCCACCCCCACCCCGATGTGTGCAGTTACTACTATAGAGTCGGTAAATGCTACTACTATAGGCCGTAGATATTACTGCAGAGTGGGCGGGAGGATCGTGGGTAGGGGGGGGGTAGCGGCCCAGCCCCTAGCCTGCCAAGGTGCCAGCTCGGCCGGCTGGGCAATCTAGACGAGGCCGGGGGCTCTAGCGCGGGACTAGGCCTCACCATGGCAATGTTAAGTAAGTGTTATTTTCTTGCTTCTTTCACTAAACTCACGTACATATAAAACGAATATTTACAAAATAAGTTTGGAAATACTCTCTGGTTCTATTGGGTAAAGTCACGTAGGTAAAAAATAAAATAACAAAAATCATGACGTTTCGGCCACAACACAAGCGGCCTTCATCAGGTGAAGGGACGAGACTGTCTGGAGGACAGCGCAGGATCGAACCCACAACCTCCTATTTACCAGGCGAGGTAGTTAACATCTCACCACCATGACGCCCATGGTGGAGAGTTGATTTATCGATCCAGATCCAATTTATTTAGTCACTGCTTTATTAATTTCAATGTTTACACTGTGGGGACATTGGCTGCCGTTGTTGTGCAGTACCAGAGTCTAATAAAACAATGGATAGGTTTAACGCATATATCAAGTTTATTATCCGTGCTGTAGATGGCAATGAGTTTATCCTTTCATTTATTGTTCATAATGGCTTTGTTACAAAATGTAAAATGTATTTATAATGCTGTTGTGATACTTAAGAAACATTTAATCAAATACAGCAAATATCTCCAGTTACTCAAAATGAATGCACAACAACATTACTACTATAATGAGCCAAGAATGTCTGTTTGTGTGTAACGCGCATGACGTCACTCCAAATGCCTAACCTCCCCCCCCAATCATTAATATTCATGAGCAGGTGGATTTTTACACTCATGCAGAAGAAGGTCGAGCGTAAATAAAATGTTTTCGCAAATTCGCTTTAAGTTTGACATTTCTTTATTGAAAGTGAATCTAATCAATAATTATACGCAGCAACAAAGTGGATTTGGTGTCTTTATTTATTTCTTCAGCACTTCAGACAAAGGTAAGTCTAATTTATGCTTCTACATTATGCTAAAATAGACATTTCTCGGTGATTTTCCAGGTATTGTATTGAATTACAATTTATTTCAACCCCAGCGACCAAAAGCAGAAGAGAATGAAGTATCAGAGCAGTGAATTTGAACAAATTGAAGGTCAGTGCTACACTGACATGAAGTTAGGTTTATATTCTTTAGTTTTGTGCAAGAATCACTGCCATTAATACAGTGCTACAGTGAAATTCAGTGAAGTGCTTGATGACAATTTTGTGCAAGATTCACTGCCATTAATTTTACACAACATACAATTATACTCTCAAATTTTCCGTAAATATTACAGCTTCCATCCTAGGACGGGTAAACAAGCTAGTGATGCCACATTCATGTTGAAATGACTTTTTTTTAAATCCCTGTTTTGTAGAGCAATAAAGAACGTCACCTGCAGTTTCCATTTCGGATGTGAAATTTCCTTCTCAAACATAATATGGCAATTTGGAGTTTAGGTTATATATTTATTTTATTTATTTTAATTTTATGTTGCGTAAAATTAGTTTTAATTATCAGTGCATTAATTTTAATTGGGTAAGAATATATGAGTGAAAGGTAACACTAGTAAAACTTTTCTCACAATGATGTCAGGGTGGCTGACTTGGGCAAAAAAAAATCCCGGGGAGTTTATAAAGTTCAAGTTGTCTTGGATAAAAAAAACAATTCGTGAACCTTGTAAACAAACGTGGCCTCCCACGATTGCTAAACGCAATGTCATGCATGCTACGACGTTGGAAAACCCACATTTATATATATACAAATATAGAAAACAGCAATTACAATAACTCATTTATCTCTGTCACTGGCAGTGAGGCAATTTAAAACTTTTGCGGTTAGAAAAAGTGACAATGGAGATGAGACAGTCGCAACCAAAACTTATGGTAGATGCTAATGAGATCAGCTCTGTCAACTTGTCAGTGTTTCATTTATATCCCGGATTGTCAAACATGTCCTATTTCTACTGGCGTAAACTCCACGTCTCTACCCTGCCCCTCCCACTCTACATCCCCCCCACCCCCCATCAGCTGTTCCATCAGCTGTTCTGGGCATAGGCGCAGTTTGACTTCTATATTTTGGGGAGTGTAGGGGTTCGCTTTGTCCCTCACGTTAGGAATCGCGGGTGCATATATTTAATTATTTTTCGTCTTAATTGTAAACTGCTGAAAATAAATTAATAAAGGTGTCCAGTTTGGGGGGGGGGGGCTTGCGTCCCCATGCCCCCCCCCCCCATCTCCGCCCATGGTTCTGTGGTTAGCCAGATCGGAGCCCAAAACTTACTCCTACAGATTTGGGAGCTACACCCAGTTTCCTTTACAGATGCCTTATTTGCAATCACAAATTTTAAGTTTTAAAATTATGCTTCATCAAATGATTTTATGAATCCTACATGATCATCTGGATCCGACAGCTAATAAGATTTGTGGACAAAATGTTTACAGAAGTAATCCTATACTTTCCCTTTTTGTACGTTATCAGTTCATAATTTTTATATGCGGTGTCCTATATTGACGTTAAACAGAATTCTTTGTCAGTGATTTGCTCTTTCATGTGCATTTGCATTTGTAAATATGGTCATGCCTAACCAACCACTAAAGTTTGTGTATCAAAACAACTGCAATGTGTGCCGTGCTGTTTTTGATTTTTTTTTCACACTTACACTTGAGGGAAAAACCCAGAGTTCGTTTGCTGCCACATCAACAACTTCCAGCTTTTGAAGGCTTCCAAGACTCTGAACACGAAAAACAAACCGATCGGGGGCTTTCATGCTATTTGAGACATTTTCTTAAAATAGCACAGGAACAGGTTTATAAAATACTTTACCATGGTCATAGAAAAAGCAAAAAAGAAATGTTGGTATGATTAACCAGCCAGTGGTGGCTATGCACCCCTGTAATTCAGCACTGTGGAGGCAGCGAGAGTTGGTAGATCACACAAACGTTGTGAAGCTCTCTTCCCATGGGCGTCGAGGAGGTGCCATACTCTGCCTTGCCAAGAGAAGCAAATGTGGACTCCACCTATTCCGTCTGTGTGGGATAGAGTATCGTTCCATCGCACGCGTAGGTTTTCTCCTGGTGCTCTGGTTTATTCCCACACGTAAACAATCATTAATTGGCTGATAACACCTTTACATAGGTAGGATTGGGGAGCTTGAGAGGGGGAATTTGGCACCAGCTGCCCGATTGATGCCTATCCCGCTTTCCTGTGATTCCTGCTTGTCCCTGTGTGTCATTCTCTCTCTCAAGAGTGAGCGAAACCAGTGTCGCACGTTACACGTTTAAATTTTTACTGATGTATTGACTGTGGTTGTCACTGTATGGTGCCGGGGCTTACGAAGCCACGGCGGATAATGTGTTGTCATTATGGGCAGCCCGGGTTTCGGGGTGTAGTACCAACCCTAGCGGGGTTTGGGTGAGCGTTGGTTAGCACGGAGGCACCGCGAGCAGTGTGCGGTGCGGGCTCCCGGTGAGGGAGCGAGAGGGAGTGTTAGCCAGCCAGGGTTACGTTGGGGCATGATACGCTGGCTGACCTGCTGACACGTGACCAGATAATATTGGAGGGGGACCACCGGTGAACGGGGGCCGCGGGGCGGTCACGTGGTCCAAAAGAGCTCTCGGGAACCTTCGAGAAAGAGCTCGAGAGATGTGGAAGGTGGGCGGGGCGAAGGGTGGAGCCAGCCCCAGCCCGGGGGCATATAACGAGGGCCCCGTGAGGAGCTCGAGGTTCTTGGTGTGCTGGTGTTACGAAGATCCATGTCGGTGAGAAGAAGCCTCTAGCCACGCGGTCTAGGACCCAGCTTGTGGTCCGGACCGGGATAGCCAACCGTGTCTAGTTCTGCCGTAGCGTGGTTAGAGGGGCTTTCGAGACCCGAATGTAGATCGTATGTTGCATGCTGTTGTATCATAGTGTTGCTCCCAAGATAACGTCTACGAATCAGTTGGACTCACTACACTATGATCTATATTTAGTTTATCCCATTGAAGAAAACTATATTACACATTTTGGGGCTGGCACACTCAAGATTTTTATAGTACAGTGTACACTGACTTGCACTGACCAGCATTGTGAAATATGGAAAAAACTCATCACTGACTTCATCCAGCAGTGGATTTACAAAGGGTTGAGGAAAAAAACAAAAACAAAATCATTTCCTATTATCCATTTACGTGATATAATTTTGAATCATCCCTTCCGTCTGTTTTATTTTCATGATGTATTCTCATAAGTTTTATATTCGAGTTTGTGCAGATGCAAGAAAAATGAGATAGTTAACAAATCCGATTAATCCCCCGGATACCAGGGCCGGTGGATAGCTTCAGATATGTTACACCCAACAAAAGGCACTTCGTTTAATCTTGCATTGAAAAAAGCCAGGTTGTGGCTCAGTGGTAGAGTGAGTGGCGTGCAATCAGAAGGTCGCAAATTCAAATCCTGATTAGGGTAAGACTTAGACAATCATCCTTTGGGGTTGATACAAAAAAATAGGTACCGTTTTGTAGGGAAAGTAACAGCGGCTTTCATGTGAATACACTTGCCCCTGCCATAGGACTGTATAATTCCACAACAGGCTCATATTTGTAAATTGATGAGCACCCTCTCAACGATCATTCGAACCTGCGATAAGCACGGTTGGCTATGTATGGTGCGAAAGAAGTTCAACATACATACATACACGTGAGCAAGAAATCTCGGATACTGACTTTTTTTTTCCTGCACCCACCGACTAGTGCGTTACCTCTGGCAGCTCACGGATCTCGTTGTGCTGGAGGTGCAGACGCTCCAGATTGTGTAAATGTCCCAACTCGGCTGGGAGCGCCGTGAGGCGGTTGTTGGCCAGGTGCAGCTCCTTGAGGCGTGCCAGGCCACACAGCTCTTCGGGAACGCTCTCCAGCAGGTTACCGTTCGCACTCAGTTTCTGCAGCTTCATCAGACTCAACAGCCAATGCAGCACAATTGGAGCAAATTGCGTGGTGTTCACGAACGACAACACCTCAGCAATAAGCCACAATTGAGAAGGATTTAGAGTGAATAGGTCTTCCATGGTAAGCAATGCGATTCTTGTCGAATGCAGCCACAGTGAGAATGCCCGTGGACTTTCCAGCAAGTCTGCATTCAGATCCTCCTACGTTGCAATGGTGATGATGATTTTAAATGCAAATTGGGGTTTGACGAAGTTCATCATCCCTCTGGGGTTCATATAATGAGTATAACTTGGTGGTGAATCGACAGCGGTTGCCCTATGAATAAGACTGTTCTCTACCGTAAGGGGCCATCCATTTAGTACGTACGCAAAAATCTGTAAAAACTTGACCCCTCCCCCCTCCCTGTACGCACGCATACTTTTTACACCCCCTCCTCCCCTGCGTACGTACTAAATGGATGGCCCCTAAGAACGTGGACTTTTCACTTGGCTCAGAATCAAGAGAGAAAATGAATACTGTATGAAAGTAAATTGTTTTTTAGAAATATTGGTATGTCTGTGGTGGGCAACTGGCTACTGGATATTTTGGGGAACCCACAAATACCACGTTGCTTCTGACATTAATTGCACATCCGATTAGCACGGTTGGCTATGTACAGTGCAAAATAAGTGCAACATACATACACATACACTCATCCAGAGCACAGTAAAAAAGGACAGCAAAGCAACACTGTACTTGGCACAAGCCTTGTTCCACCAACCACACATGATCAACAAAGCATTTGGAAAGAGGTAGATATGGGGCGTTTTTAATCTAAATTAGCTCATTTATTATTCTTGTAATAGCAGACAAAATCTATTTTTTTAATTAACAAAAAAATTCAGATTCCTCCCTCCACCATTATCAAGTTATTGGCAATAATATCCATATATCCGCGTTTGACTTGTCAAGTGTGGGAGAGCATGCCCTGAGAGCACTCTCCAATGGGTTCCTCCTCACAATCCTTTCTCAGTCCTCTACGGCAAGTCCTCTATTTACGTTGGGGACGCGTCCCCGACATTAGTGGAAACAACGTAAATGGAAACCTGTTTCACCGTTGACTTAATTATATAAACTTAGGATACATTCCTGGATGTTATTTTTTTGGTTTGGTCACCCATGATTATCACAGTTGGCTCTACATACGGTGCGAAAGAATTGCAACATACATACAAAACATGAATAAAAATATTTAGTACCGTACCGTAAAGATAACAAGATGCCCTGTATTAACCTATATTATTTATAGGTTAGTACAGAGTACTCACCAGAGATTGCGGCAGTTTCCACTGAGAGAGGGCAGTGGAGTGTACAGTGGTGGTGTTTTAAAATCTGGAGCTTGAGTGCTCGCTAGGAGGCGCCGTGACGTGGTGGGTCGTCACGTGCCGCTGCCGAAACTACTGCGTTATTTAAATTTTCCAAAACAACGTTGCAGTGAATCTAAAATTTTTAAATCGAATTACGTCTCGCTCATTTGTTGGCTACGTTATAGTGAAACAACGCAAATAGAGGACTTACTGCATCCTGCAAGTAAAAATTGACTGACTCTAAATCCTTGGTTTCCACCAAGCAGACAGCTATGCAAGATACACCTGGTGGGTGGTTTGACTTGAGTATTGCTGTTTATCCCATTTTCAGCCATGACTTCCCTACGTTTACATCACTTGCACTTCGTTTGTGAAAGCTAAAGGTAACTCCTCTTCTTGGCTGCCATATCCCGATGAGAGTCACAAAGACCTTTCCACGCATCGTGACAGCTTGTGTGCAGTGGCTGTTTAATGTGCAAGCATAATGAAAGCAGCCTAGGATTAAGGTCATTTGGCCCTAAGCCATAACCATTTTTTATTCATTGCAACAAATAATTTGGGCATCCCAAACGTTGCGCCTGCAACAGCGCCCTCTAGCGGCTTATTGATGGCAATGCATCGCGATCATTATTAAGCTGCTTTGCCCATCAAAGGCTCACTGAGGTCTCAATACTTTTTCAGCAGGGTCCTCCCAAGTTCTTACAGTGGGGGCAACGTTCACCTGTGTCATCCCAATTGAGTCATTTGGAGGTACGGTAATTTGTTTAGCGTTGGAATATTTGGCCAATAGCAATTACGTCGTATAACAATTTACATTTGCAAGGCACATTCCATCTGTAGATCCCAATGCACCCATGTATGGAAAGAAGGAAGTAAACATAACCAGGGTAAACGGCCAGAACTAGGGAGTACAGGCCAGCTTAAAGAGGTGAGTATGGGATTTTTGTTGCATTGATTATGCGATGTGTTCTGCTCGTTTACCGTGGAAAGCCAGTCCAAGTCTCACGACTCTCTCTCTCTCAGGAGGGTCCTGCCAAGTTTTCGCAGCAGGGGACGATGGTTGCTACTTATAATCCCAATTGAGCATACGCAAGCACGTAGAACTCATTTGGTAAATGTATTATCATTGCTTACTCACTACAGTGCTTCAGCACTGCATTTGATCAAAATGCCAGTGTGATCATTGTGCATGCATACTTGTTGATGTTCCTTGGGAGGGTCTTCAGTTGATTGTTGTTGATGTTGAGCATCACCAGGTTGTGCAACCCTTCTAAACGCATGATATAATTTATGGTTAAGCGTAGCGATGTTATGCTGTCAAAAGAATTGGTTTAACTAGAGAACATTTTAGGAAAACATCAAATACATATTTCATTAACCAGAGAGAAGTTCTATAAAGGCATGAGAAGTATACTTTGTGTTAGGACTTGGGCAACAGCTGTACATGCCAGTGGACCTGTGGGCACTTGCAGGCATCTGCATGCTGCATTGAAAGGCGCTTCTGCAGATCAAACTCTGACTTCTGTACTGACTGCATTTTGCCAGAGCCACGGTGCAGTAAGCAAGGTCATATCGTTTATACAAGTGTGGCCCCGACGAATGAAGCGACGGTCATGAAGCTGGAGAGGAGTATTGGGAATTTAAAACAGTCAGTGTAAACAATATGCAGATGAAATTTTAAAAAGACCGGTCACAAATATTTCTCGTGATATTTTTTGAAATTGAACACTTTGGCTTTTGCGACCAATATGATTCATAATTGGTGTTTGGGTCAGATCGTGTGAGTAAACTGTCACACACCCTCCTCCACCCGACACAATGAAGTTGCCACGTAAACAAATGTGCCATGTCAGGTACCCAATTATTAAATGTTGTGGATCACTCTCCAACACACCGTTGTGCTGCTGTAGCAGTAATACATTAGCACGTTTGTTCATCAAGTGACAACTGTATTAATTGTCTGAGTCGGGTGGAGGAGACTGTACACCACATTCTACTCACTGGATCTGACCCAAAAATATATTCTTCATAATTTTTAGGAATTTTTGATTGAATAGTTTTTTTTCTGTTAAATTGCTGACAGTCCATTACAGCTAATAGTTCATGCCATATTTCCAAGACTCATAATTAGTAGATTTTTGGTTAGATCGTGTATGTCAGTTTTCTAACTATAACCCTCCACTACCCGACGGAACCAATCAAATGAAGTTGTCGCATGGGCAAATATGCCAGTTGATTTGGTTTGGCATATTTGCGCACGTGATAACTTGATTTGATTGGCTTTGTCCGTTGGTGGAGGGTTATAGTGTTACAAATTTACATTTTACCTACACCATGATTTAACCAAAATAAACTAATTATGAATCACAATGTCGGTCGGGAAAGCCGACGTATACAATTTCCAAGACTCATTTAAATTAGAGGATCTTGATCCATCTACCACAGAAAGACGTACCTAGAACATTGTCTGAAAAGCGTTTGATGCGGTTGTTGAAAAGATGTAGCTTTTGCAGTGATGTCAAGTGGCGCAAGATCTCTGGTACCTCCTGCAGCTCATTGTTTCCCAGATTCAACTCTGTGAGCTGCAAAAATACAGCAAAGGTGTTACCTGAAAAGTGTTACACAATCATTAGGGATTCCATATTTTGTGCTAGAATGTGACAATGTATCAGGACATTTGCCTTCAGCTGCAGAACCTGATCACGTATCAAAGGTTTCCACGTTTCTATGCTATAGTCAACTCAGGAATATTGACTCCACAAAATGTTTGCTGCATAATAGCAACAATACGTTTTAATGTCTGTGCACAACAAGTGTCTCATGTAGCAGCTAAGACTGGTTCATTGTTTTTCTCGTGCATACATTCTGCCGCCAATGTACGCTAACGAACTTCCTCCTGAGAGTTCCAATTCTTTCGATTAGTTCATTGGGATTAGCGGTCCTAGACATTATGGGTTTGAGAGACACTCTACTCCAAGTCAGGAGCTATGTCCATAAAAAAATTGCTAATTGATAGATTTCACACTTTAAAACTATTATGGACTGTAATGCACCTCATGCACTTTTTTTTTTACAGTGCAGTACAATATTATCAGAGTATTCTCTTGAAAGAAAATGCAGTACAATACTGTGACAAGAAAGAACGTTTAAATATATGTATCTGTGCATACAAGACCAGTACTGTAACGGCACAGTTACTGCAATACATTGGCGACATGCCCAACAAGTCCATCACCCAACGCATTAAACAGCCAGCTCGTTACACAATCACCAGTGCGCATGTTACCAACACGGCATCCCGGAGTCCACCAAACACTGGAACTATGATGATGGTTAATGATTTACAGCCCTGGCTGTCAATTCTCAAAGGTTTTCAAACAATCCACAAAGGCTCACTAAAAAAAGTTACGACCCATAACAGAGAGACTCACGGGTTTTACCTTTACTCAGTCAGGCCAAACTTCTGATAGTTATGAATAGCTCTAAATCTCTAAACACGTATTTTAAACATACAGTATACAGTATGTCATCATGGTGGTGAAATAAGTAATTTTACTATCGTGGAGTGTGACTATAATGCCAATAGAAAGTGGACAAAGTCGGTGTTTACTCTCTAAACACTTTTGCATAAACACATGACAACGGAGCGCTTATGTACGGACGTTTAAACAAATATATATAAACAACATAAACAGACAATTCGCCTCCTTCCCATGTCAATCCCCCGCAAATGAAAACAAAAGCAATGTATACTTTAGATACACATCCCATCGGCATTCATGTCCCAGCAGCATTGGTTCAGCACGAGCAAAGCTTGGCAGCAGCTTCTGCGTCAACACTGCCAGGGGGTTGGGAGGGGGGTTGGGGGGGCCTTGGGCCCCCCGCCCTCCTCGTTCGACCGCCGAACGCGACCTGGAACCCGTGAGTTAGCGGCGTCGGGGTTCACGAATGAGCGCGTCAACACCGCCCCGAGAGTGGCCGCCGGTCACTCACTCCACTCACTCACTCCACTCACTCACTCCACTTGCTCCACTCACTCACTCCACTCACTTCACTCACTCCACTCACTCACTCACTTCACTCACTCACTCCACTCACTTCACTCACTCACTCCACTCACTCACTCCACTCACTCCACTCACTTCACTCACTCACTTCACTCACTCACTCCACTCACTCACTCCACTCACTCCACTCACTCACTTCACTCACTCACTCCACTCACTCACTCACTCCACTTGCTCCACTCACTCACTCCACTCACTCACTCCACTCACTTCACTCACTTCACTCACTCACTCCACTCACTCACTCCACTCACTCACTTCACTCACTCACTCCACTCACTCACTCCACTCACTCCACTCACTCACTCCACTTGCTCCACTCACTCACTCCACTCACTCCACTCGCTCCACTCACTCACTGCACTCACTCACTCCACTCACTCACTCCACTCACTTCACTCACTCCACTCACTCACTGCACTTGCTCCACTCACTCACTCCACTCACTCCACTCACTTCACTCACTCCACTCACTCACTCCACTCACTTCACTCACTCCACTCACTCACTCCACTTGCTCCACTCACTCCACTCACTCACTCCACTCACTCCACTCACTCCACTCACTCACTCCACTCACTCCACTCACTCACTCCACTTGCTCCACTCACACCACTCCACTCACTCAACTCACTCCACTCACTTCACTCACTCCACTCACTCATTCCACTCACTCACTCCACTCCACTCACTCCACTTGCTCCACTCACTCACTCACTCCACTCACTCCACTCACTCACTCCACTCACTCACTCCATTCACTCCACTCCCTCATTCTACTCACTCCACTCACTCACTCTACTCACTCCATTCACTCCACTCCCTCATTCCACTCACTCACTCCACTCACTCACTCCACTCACTCCACTCACTCATTCCACTCACTCACTCCACTCACTCACTACACTCACTCATTCCACTCACTCACTCCACTCACTCACTCTCTCTACTCATTCCACTCACTCCACTCACTCACTCCACTCACTTACTCCACTCACTGACTTCACTCACTCCACTCACTCATTCCACTCACTCACTCCACTCACTCATTCCACTCACTCACTCACTCCACTCACTCATTCCACTCACTCCAATCACTCACTCCACTCACTCACTTCACTCACTCCACTCACTCATTCCACTCACTCACTCCACACACTCACTCGCTCCACTCACTCATTCCACTCACTCCACTCACTCACTCCACTCACTCACTCCACTCACTCACTCCACTCACTCACACCACTCCACTCACTCACTCCACTCACTCACTCTACTCACTCATTCCACTCACTCTACTCACGCACTCACTCCACTCACTCACTCCACTCACTTCACTCACACCACTCCACTCACTCACTCTACTCACTCCACTCACTCATTCCACTCACTCACTACACTCACTCATTCCACTCACTCACTACACTCACTCACTCCACTCACTCACTCACTCCACTCACTTCACTCACTCACACCACTCCACTCACTCACTCCACTCACTCACTCCACTCACTCATTCCACTCACTCACTCATTCCACTCACTCACTCCACTCACTCACACCACTCCACTCTACTCACTCACTCACTCCACTCACTCACTCATTCCACTCACTCACTTCACTCACTCACTCATTCCACTCACTCCACTCACACCACTCACTCACTCCACTCCACTCACTCCACTCACTCATTCCACTCACTCACGCCACTCACTCTACTCACTCACTTCACTCCACTCACTCACGCGAGTCAGGCGGTGCATCTCGGCGGGCAGCTCGCTCAGAGCGTTGCTCTTCACGCACAGCCGCTCCAGCCACGGCAGCTGCCCGATAGCGCCAGGCAGTCGTCTCATCTTCTTGCTGCTCAGGTTCATCGTCTTGGCTTTGGCTCGCACGGCCCTCAGCAGCGCCGGGTCCGAAGACGACATCCCCTCGTCTCGCGCGACTTTGTGTGAGAGAGACAGAGATAGAGGGGAGGGGGTAAATAACAAAATGCCCTCCGGTGTTTCTAACATCGCCATGGCAGCGAGGAATGCCAGCCGCTGGCAATGTGGGCCCCCGTGTGTCATTGAGTCAACAGTCGTTGGTGTCGTCGGCCCGCCTCTCCCTGGCCGCTCGAAGCAATTGACGCTGCCCGCGTGCAAGTGTGCTTGAGCACAATGTGCGTGTTGATACACATTTTAGAGCGGTTGTTTCTTCATTGCAAGGCCCGCGGGCCACTGGGGGCCCCTGGTGGCCTTTAGTGCGGCCCCTGAGAATACACAAATAGTGAAACCCCCCCCCCCCATCATCGTGCTGCTATCAAACCCCAATGGTTTCAAATGTGTATCGGCTTTCACACTGTTGTCTTATCGGCTAAAGTGGCCCCCTCTGAAAATTAGTTAAGAACACAATTTTAAAGCGATTATTTAATGTATTTTTTTGCATTACAGCGACCTCCGGTCATGCTCACTAGCAGTGGCTTTTGGCCAGCGAACGGACAAAGACGGCGGTCACCGCATCGCGTGCTTTCAGATGCGCTTCTGCGGCCGTCTGGAACGCTCTTCCGATATCAGGAAGCCACTGGGAGCTCTGCACTTTTAAATCATCTAGGTTAAAAACTAATTTCGTTACAGCTGCTGTATATGTTTAATCTGCTGTCCTTACACCGCACCTCCGATTAGCACGGTTGGCTTCGTACGGGACCAGGTGCCCTCGGAATTGAAACTGGCAAAAGGTAACTTGACTCACTACCCTACTCTCGCAGGGACAACGGTCGGGAGCATGGTGTTTTTGAGAGAAGGGGATAAATCAGAATCTGAATATTTTGTATGTATTTACTGGACATGTGTGAAGAAGAGCTTTATAGCTCCTCGGATTCCTCCAGTATAACTAAATATTCTGATTTAAAGATACATTTTCATGTTTTCTTATTTTTCTTCTTCGTACGGATGATGTTGTTGATGTAGAGCCAACATCTATGTTTACCTTGAAAGTGGTTGAGCCAGACGAAACACGATGCGACATTTTAATAGAAATGAATGTCACTCAATTTGGTGCCTCCCAATTGTGTTTCCCATCGGCAGAAGTGTAACTGTTGCATTTATTTATACTTGCTCATCCAGTGGGTATTTATCTAATTCGCCCAATGTTGCCCAACTCTAGCCATGTTACAATGTAACAATCAGTATCAGTATTCGACTTTTTAAGACAGTTAATGAATGTTGAGATAAAACTTTAGATCATGCTGTACCAGTAATTTTAAAAGAAACTGTAAATAATAAAGACATTTATGTAGCGCCCTTAAACAATCGTTCTCAGGGTCGCAATGCATGAAAAGGCGGAAATAGTTAAACATCAACCAAGGAAAGAAGACGTGAGAAAGAAGTTTGAAAATATCTAAAGAGAGAGAAAGCCATTTTAAGGTTTATGCATACAACACCGTTACAATTAGTCAAATAAAATTAGTTGGTTATTCTGCTGAAATGTCAGTGGTGCATAAGTACAATTAACAAAAACATGAAGACATTCGTTCAATATGTTGAGCGTTTTTATTGGTGTGTGTGTGTATCAATAGTGTTAGAATCGATACAAAATAAACCATTACATTTTTGGGTTTTTGATCTACAACCTATAACACTTATATTGCACATACTGTCAGTTACACAAGAAGTAATTTAAAAGACTACTAAAATCACGTATTATAACCACCAATTACTGAAAAAACTCGATGACAAGGCACTAATATAATTGGTTGTAGTTGTGTTTCTGGAACTATAAATTACGTATGTTTTTCCATAATGATTTTGTCTTGAAATATTTCTGTATATAAAATCGCCAACTAAAACACTCCATGATTTTTTTTCCAAACAGACGATACAATCGCGGCGACCCTACACTATATATACACGGTACTCGTAACCAGCGGTGTTAAAATTTACTGCAGTCATTTTGGAGATTGCAGTGCCGACGACTAGACACGGGATGGCGGCAGTGCTCCATTGGTCGCTCGGAGTGGCGTATTTGTGTTTGTTTATGTATTTACGCTTGTTTACCCAAAGATATTGAGACTCAAGGGGTCTCAATATCGTTCCAAGAGGTCCCCATCACGTTTTCGTAGTTGGGGTCGTTGTTGCTATGTGTATTCCCATTTCAATAATTTGCAGGTAAATATTTCAGCATTGGGGTTTTGAGTTAATACCAGTGGTATTGTATGGGGTTTTTTTAGAGAAAACTGGGGAATCCAGGGGAAACCACTGCAGAACAGGGAAAGAACATACAAACTCCACACAGAAAGCTGCCCGAGTTGGGAATCGAACCCAAAAACTCTTCTTGCTGAGGCACAAGTGTTACCACTGCCACTACTCTGCCGCATTGTGCTCAAATGCGAAGCTGTGAGGTGGCCACCAGTGGCCCGCGGGCCACTGGTGGCCTTTAGTGCTGCCTCTGACTTGCGGCCCCCAACAATACACAAATAGTGAAAACACCGCCCCTCCCCATCATTATCATCGTGCTGCTGTCAAACCTCCAATGGTTTAAAATGTGTGGTGGCGCTCACACTGTTGATGTCTTATCGGCAAAAGTGGCCCCTCTCTGAAATTTAGTGAAGAACCACTGCTGTATTGCGAAACTCCCATTTGGCTTTCTAAAGTATTATATTTGCTGGGCAACATCGCGGGAAATCAACAATGTGAAAAAGGAAGGAAGTGTAACATCTATTTGTTGATACATTACAACAACGTAAAGGTGCAGCTTCACAATTTAGTTAGAGATTGAGCTCGAGATTACTCCATCTGGGGGGATATTTTGACCTACTCTGCCACTCTACGCGACCTACCGATCAACTAACTATGGTGTACTCACTTATGCTGTTTGGTGGACAAAGGCGGGGGTGGGGGGGATAAAAATAAAACTTGAACCATGTTTCAACTCCTGCACTAGGATATCAAAACGGCCACTTCTGAAGTCCAGCATGCGAACCATTGAACCACGGCAGCATCCACAACCATAGCACATTATATTCAAAGTGTTTTTTTTTTCTCCATGAATTTCCAATACAAGAATTTCGAGTCCAGTAATAACTCGGACAAAAGTTGGAAATCAACACAAACGTTTATTGCCGTGTTGTGTGAGGGTTCTGTACGTTTCCAACAAAAGGAACAACACTTTTCAAAAAAGATAACCACCACGTTCATGAGTAGCCACACTCTTCCCCCTATGCTATTCTTGTGTATGTCAATATGTTCGGGAGCTAAATGCCAATGTCAAGGTCTGCTGGCCACAAGAGGACTTCGGGAGAGTGTGTAGTTATGCTTTTCCTCCGTTGAAGGAGCGCAGACGACAGGATTAGTATATGGTCCACGATTTGGGCTTTACGGCCGCATTCACCCTCTGGCTTGGCCTTTAATTTTACGTTCATTAAGGAGATGTTCGCTTCGGCCTGTTTATGTTCTGATGCGGTTGATGGTTACACCAATGTCTTCGAGGAATGTTCAAACCAGGAGGTGTGATGTTGGATCTCGAATGTATGTATATAGAACCTCTTTCACACCATACGTAGCCAACCGTATGAGGTGTTCCATTCCATTTGACACCACTCTTGCAGATCTGGGTGAGATTCGCGGATGGTGAGAGCACGATACCAAAATGGGCGGTCAAGACTTCAGTCTGCGACGAGGTACATTGTTGAGGGTCTTGGTTGATGGGTAGGTTGTTATTGCCAGGAAAATATGTCAACTCCCTTGCAGTTTGCAGGTCTCTGAGGATATTTGGTGGCAGAATGTTTGCGAGAACAGGGACTCAGTGGATTGGTCTCAATTTCTGTTCCAGTTATGATGCGCATTGCATTATTTAATTGTGCATCTAATAGTGTTGTGTATGAGCTCCTGGACCAGGCTGGATCGCAGTCCTCTACCACTGACTAGATAAGTGATAGGGTGGCACTTTGCAGCAAATCAGGTGAGATGCCCCAGGTCGCTCCTGGAAATGTCTGTTGCTGGGTGATTTTTGATTTGGCATTTTCACAGATCTGTTTTATATGGGCCTGAAGGTCAGGTTTCTATCCATGATAACTCCTAGATATCTTGGAGTGAGGTCATAGGGCACTGGGCTACCACAGAAGGACACATCAAGGGTGCCATCTGCTGCATCATTCTTCAGGTGGAAAGTGCCTGTGGTGGTTTTGGAGGGACTTGGTCGGAGATTCATACACGAACTTGCATATGCAATATGAGCCTGCAAGATGATGTACATTGCCGGTCACATATATGTAGTGAGCGACTTCCGAGAAACGACGTGCAGAGTGCTCCTTGTTTATTTTCACACCTGACAGGCACAATCACTGAGCAACATATATATTCCGCTATGCATGGGTGACCCCACTCATACAGCCCCATCGCCAACATCTAATAATATAGCTGGCTGACTAATACAGTGATGACGATGATGGGAGCCATACAGCGGATCGGCCATGCAGCCGGATGATGAAGAAGAGATGACGGCGAAGACAGCAGCGGCAGCCGGCACCCGGACCCCCACGACAGCCCCGAACCTTCGGTTACGCCCCCCTTATATACTCCTCGGCGTGGCCAAGCCCCGCCTCCGGCCACGCCCCCTTCTATAACCTTCGAGCAGGTTCCCGGAGCTTCCCGTCTGATCCCCGCCTCTGACCTTTAGCCCAATTATGCTCCCCTTACAGTTGGCTTTTATATAACGCACCCATACCCGTAATTATCCCTCCTGGTCACAGATGGCACCCTGTCACTACATATGTAACAGGTGTGGTTATGGTTGTGAGCTTTGAGGGGGAAGACAAGAGGGATATTGGCCTGAAGCTGCAGAGTTTTCCGGACCTGGGGCTTTCAGAATGGCGATGACTTTGGCCTCCATGATTTTGAGAGTTTTCCTGTCCTGTGTTTGAGGGTGAAGAGGTTTGCAAGCCGTGTTTGCC